CGCGCTCTCACACCACTACTCCTCCTCCTCCTCTCTCTCTCTCTCTATCTCATTCTGTCTCTCTCTTTCTCCTCCGTATCACGCGTATCATGCAATCTCTCGCCGCACAGTTTTCGCGACCAGCTCCATGTCTACGCGACGCACATAATGTGTTTTGTGTCCGCTTGTATGTCTGCCCTTTACATGAAAAATTCATTTACGCTTATTTTTTTTTCCTTTTTTCCCCAGGTGCACTGCGATTCTTTCCTTTTCTGGTTGATCATGGCGATTTTTCCATTTTTTATTTCTTTTTTTTGCAACCGGCGGCTGCTCGTTTAAATACTATTTCGCTATAGTGGACTACCGTTATGAACGCTACGCTACTTTGTATTGTATTCTGTAATGCTTCGTAATGAACGACTGGTACTGAATGTGCATACTGGTGAACACACGCAATCTATAAGGTCCCGTTCCAAGGATACCATACGCGGCGGCCGAGTCGAGCACTGCACGAAAACGACGAGCGTGCTCGTTAACGAGCCCTGCTCGTAGACACCGGCGAGATTTTTAATTAATATTCCGATGTACCACGGACGCATACGTCGCGTTTCATTAATCACGGGACGCGCCATACTCGACAAAATAATCGTCCGAATGAGAAAGAGTGTCCATGCGCGCAAAAAAAAAAAAGAAGAAGAAACGAGTAGTTATTAAAAACTCGTCGGACAACGTGATCAGGGTTGAAGCAAAATTGATGAAGTTTACGATTGCGAATCGAAGTATCGAGATCACCGTTGGAAAGGAAGTTAAATAAAATATCATTTCGCACGTCGGTTTTCCGTCATTTTTTTATCATTTCCGCCTTAATTAGTACACGGAGTATTAATCAAAATTTTTGAGTCTTACGGCTTTAACGAGTTTGTCATCTCGCGATAAGATGCCGCGTATGCTAGCCGTGATGTCGAGAGTGTATGGTATGGATCCTGTACGCTCCGGTTACAAAATAATATATGCAACGTGAGAAATCACGATCTGTCGCTAAGTGTTGCTCCGCCCTCCGAACCTTCCTGTTTAATTAGTACTCGCGTTACTTCGGTTACGAATAGTGTAATCGTAGTTTACAATTAACCACTCTGTGTCCTCCATCTCGTTAAAAATCTTAGACATCAACATACATTCACATTTTTTTCTTATTTTTATAATAAACCGTTATTAGAAACCTATCTCATATTCGCTATGCACTTTAATATAAATTTCATCGTGTTTACCGTTATTTAATCATTTAATTTGTTTATTTACAGAGACGCGTGTCTATTCGAAATTCGCTTTATCGCCCTTTTAACGCGTTAATTAATTAATTAATTCATTACAAACCGCGCGGCCGTGTTGCGGCGGATATTTTACCCTCGATCTCGAGAAGAGAGGAACAAGTCTTTTTTTTTCCTTTTTCTTTTTGTTTTCATGCGTGAGAACGCGTGCAGCGTGCCTCTCGTTCGAGCGGGAGAGACATCGCGCGCGCGCGCACGCACGCACGCACGCTCCTCGTCGGGCATCCTTCTTCTTGTTCTCTTGTACACGCACACGAGTGGATGATTACGTAAGTGAAGTGGCATTACCGAACGTAATAGCAGACGGGAACTCAGACCTCCTCGGGATGGACGTGAAGCGTATCCTGTTTTTCCCTTTTTTTTTTAATCATACCTCGGATGTTTATTTACATGTTCCTTTATTTAAATCGCATTGACGAGTCCGCGGATGGTGCGGTCCGAAATATAGATCTGGCTCGTTAATACGCGGTCAAATTCCCACGGTCAAATTCGCGCGTATATATACGCACGTTACATTTATTTACATACGTCTCTCTGAACAAACAAACCCACCGGAAATGCATTCTCTCTATCTGCTGTTAAAAAAATACTTTTTTTTTTTCCCCTCGTCGGCAGCAGGACGCCTCACGTCTCGCGGTCTGCGGCACGGATCATAGGAGTGTGCGATGGTGTGGACGTGATGGATAAATGACAGAAACAAAAAGGGGAAATAAAAAACAAAAAAAAAAGGAATGAGTTTGCAGTGAGCGACCTTGTCTATTTTCTATATCGAATAATTCGAGTCTATATTATCGTTATAACGTATTCGCTTATCGTCCGCGCGAGTGAGTACCTAGCGTGTACGTGAAACCACGTATCCTTTTCGCTCTTCGCGTACGAACGATCGATCAAGCGGCACATTTCCCGTTCTTCCTCGCCGTTACTTAAAATAAATTCGACTCGCGGTCGGCGCGACACTTTCACAATTCCCAACAATGCAATTGCGGTGCGACAAGCGAGCGCGTCCGAGGTTCCGTAAAATGTTACATATATATCTACAATGGACTCTCTGGTTGAAAAATACTGGAGAGTATCCTCGGTATCTGCAAGATTCCGTAATATTTAAGTGAATCTCTAAAAAATCACCGAAGCAACAATTGAACATATATCTACTATCAATAGACGTACAATTAAAGATGAGTATGATTATGACCAATACTCGCACATTTCAACCGGAGAGATCAGGGATGAATATTCGCAACGTAAATAATAAATCATTAGCCTGACAAATTTCGGATACAATGATGATTGTCTGCAAATGCGTCTTACTTAACGTCGTAACTTATCTAAAAAGATACATGTGACTTTCGAATCGACGATTGATTGGAACCGTGAAAGATCGCGTTGATCAACTCGCTCGTCACTAATTGCTGTTGCAATAACAAAACAAGTGAAAATACGAACGAATGATGGATGGCAGAGGCGCATAATGTTCAGGCTTACAATATTTCGCTGCTGAACTTTCGCCGTTTATTCGCAATTCTGGGCTGATCGCGGTTGTTCGCTGCTCTCGCGATCGTAGACGCGAATGGGGACGATGAACTATGAATGACAAAGTCTGAAAATGAAATTGGTCAAGTAATATTCAACGCATAAGGATTCTGCATTTTGCTACTTAAGATTCTGAATAAGAATCTTTTTTTTCTCTCTCTCTCTCACACAATCGTACATTCTCTCGCTACGATACTCATTTCCCGCGTAAATTCGTATTTACAATAATTCGTTAGTGCAGTCGCGCTGGCAATTGTATTTTTTTTGTGGACACGAACGAAAAATTACTCACTGCTTCGTTTTTCGCCTTTTGCGTATCGCATGCGCGTGCGTACGTGCGTGCGTCACACGAAAAATGAATTCGCGAGTGTGTGGCATGAAACGTGTACACGCTCAAGTCTTTTTTCTGATAATGAATAATAAATAGAATAATAAAAAAAAAGATCAATAAATCAGAAACATAATCGAATTGATTAAACAATGAATAGAAACATTATTCGTGTATAATACTCGGAACCAAATCAAGAACGAAGGAAATAAACAATGGGGGAGAGGAGAAGAAGAAGAGGGGAGAGGGGAGGTTGGCCCCGGGGGCTCGTTCGTGCCGCGATCACCGCTTCACCCCCGGTGCCGGCAGTACGTTAATTTGTTCGCTATTAAATTTGATATTTCACTAGCAAATATAGAATATCGAGTGTTGAATATTCGTTAGCATAATGATAGCGGATAATAAATATAATACAGATTTATAGATAGAAGTCTCAATATGGTACAGCTATTATACAAATCTGTCTTTTTATTCGATTAGCGACTCAGTCTCTCTCGCACAATATTCTCTATTCGCTCGCTCTTTTTCTAGGCTATATTCCTTACTCAACGGCTTGAATCAACGATACTATATACTATCCTCGATGTTGACTCGTGACAACGATGTAATTAGACTTGTAGTGAAATTCACATAAGTTCGTGGTTTGCGTTAACTTGTTTGATGAGCACGGTGCTCACATCATAATCACATCATCATACACATATGCACATTTTCTCTCTCTCTGATTCATACTCTTTTTCTTTCTCTCTCTTTCTTTCATCTCATATTATAAGATTTACCTAGAAATACGGCACTCTTTCTTAAATCTCTCCGGTTCCCTGTTGCCCATCGGCATACAAGGCGACCACAAGAGCCACTTGTACATATTCATTAGGAATTTATTTACACGCGTGCTAACTATCCTACTCACGATCTCGCATGCGAACTCGAATGATCCTTCGTCCTCGGCGTCCTGCGATTGGCCGGGCGGCCGCGGCAATCGGTCCAAATTTAAATGTCGCGCGAGAGACACGGAATTAATCTCAGATGATCTCTCCCAATTCTTCGATCTTTCGTTCCTCCTGGTAAGGTCGATCGATTATCGAGGAATTACGGCGCGTCGCGTCGAATCCAGATATCTATGAAGTTTCCGGAAGTCACTCGCGATTAGAGTTGCGATCATTTGACCCGGATTATTACTGCCTTGGCCGCGAACCGAAAGCATTCAAGGATTTTCAGGTACTCTTTTCTCGAGGCACGGCACGCTCGTATGATCGCGCTCAGGACAAACTATTTTCCTTGCCGGCCCCGAGCGAGGACCCCTTAACGAAGGACCGTTCGTCGTCGATGGCCGAGTTCACGTGACGTTTTCTCTCGAATTAAGGATTCGTTTGACGCTCAAAAACATGCGATTTGACATTACTCGCGTACATGGCCTTGCTACTAACATATAATAGACGTCCTTCTCTCGCGTACACTTTTCGCTCTCGGTCGAGGATACTTAGCACGCTGCCACGACTCCCGTCTCACATCTGTCTCTCATATTCGAATAAATACCTACAGTTAGTGTAATGATAAGAAGGACAACCAATACGACTACCATTTATAGTAGTGATAATAGTGGGCGTGTACTATAAGTAGTGTCTAGTAATAGCGCTTCTCTTTCCGTCTTTTCTTTTCTGTTTTCTCTCCTATTTCTCTCCCATCCTCGGCTTCCTTGTCTTCTTCGTCCTTCTACGGTATTCCACAGTAGAATCCCGCTAGTTTTTTAATTGTGTTTAATATGGCGTTGCCGCTCGTGTGTCGTGCATGTCTCTTCTCTCGATGTGTCTCTTCTTCTCTCGCTCTTCATCCTCTTTCTCTCTCTCTCTCTTTCTCTGTCCGTCTCTTCTGTCTGTCTTTTCTTTCTTTTCTGCTATCTCTCGAGTCGGCACGACCATAGATCGTGCGTGTCTTTACTACGATCGAGGGACGGCCGAGGTACGCGCTTGACTCGCGCGCTTCTCAAGAAATCAATTAAACGTAGGATAATCACAGAAGAAGGGGTTTCGACGCATGGGATATACGACATTCTCGTACGTGTCCGGTGCTGTCGCTTCACCGCAGCAGCTGCTGCAGCAACGCACTCATCAACAGGCTGCCCGTCGCCAGGATCAGACTTTGCGCGTACTGAACTTGCGTATAAGCATACGAGTTCGCACCGTTGTACGTCAGCTCCTCGTTCTTCACTACCTCATTCGGATGATCCGAATACTCCTCTGTAAAACATAAAAGCGAAGAAATCGTTAGTTATTGATATCCATTGAGTTAATGAGTGCACAGAAAAAATGAGTTTGCTAAAGTAAAAATTTGCTAAAAATTTGCTTAAATATAGATCTGAAAAGAAATTCGAAATTATTTTCAAAATTATTATATAGGATACTTAAGCATAATGATAATCTGTAAAAATTTTTGATGTTCTAACAATCAATTTGAACGTTCAAAGTTATTTTGATAGTTTAATAAAATTATTTTTAGATTTGTATTTGAACAAATTTTTAAATACTAAAAACTAATTCTAGGGAGATATTATTAAAACTAATTGTGTGGCATACTAGAAAGTACAAATTTCATAAGCTGTTAAAATGATACTAAAAAAAATAATCGTGTTAAAAATTGAAGAAGTGAAGAATGAAAAAAACAGAATTATATAATCCATGCATTTCACTTCATCTTTGCCACATTCCTTCTCCTTTTAAAGAAGATAAGCTCCATTGCGCGTTACTCGAGATTAACTTCCAACTTTTGAAAGTTATTAAATTCTTATGAGGACTATGAACGTAGATTAAATTCCTTCGATTTCTTATATATGTCTGTATATTTTAACTTCCCGAAAAATGAGGAACAATGTGTCCCGAGATCCGCGATAGACCGGCTTTAATGGGATTATATATCTCGAGACGTGTCGCTGAGGCTATCCTCGCGCGGAGATGCTCAAGTCGCATCTCAAATTTTAATGGTTATTACTCGGCGCGCGAAACCGCGCGAGGAAAACGAAATCCCTGGCAATTTCGTGTCGACACCTTGGAAATGTGTATTCCCTATCGCGCCGTGTGTCTCGGAAACACGGCACCGTTAATGGGTGAGCGGCTATCCGCGCGCGGCTTATCGGCGAAATGCAAATGCGCGCGCGCGCGTACGCGGCGCATTTAGAAAGTCAAATTATATCGTAGATGTCGACGCGAAGAGGAAGGGCGAGCGGTTCGACAGATGGTTTTCATCCGATCGGATCTTGACATTGCGCCTCGACGACCTTCCACCTGGCAGAGGCGTGCGTATTTACGGCGCGCATTTGCAACCAAATGCGGCAATTCGACCCTTATCTCGCGCATAAACACGTTGTTAAATAAATGTGTATAAATCCGTCTCTCTTTATTTCTACAAATAATTTGCGCGGTTTAACAGAAATAAAAAGATCCCCGTTTCAGCCGTGAATTAAGGATCTAATGAGCCAGAACGAGTGCGTAAAACGGGGTAACGCGGAAGAACACAATTTGCAACCGGTAATAATTGACAGCGGTTGCCATTATTATTTCTTCTATAATTTATTCTGGATATACCGAGGATAGACATTATATAGATAATAGAAGATGTGCTGTTCTCGCTCGTCATAGAACGAAGTTTAAATGAGTACATTAAGAGAAACCGGACTGACACGGCGAACATTGTCGGTGCCCTCGACTGTCAATTAACGTCGATTTGCGATGATCATCAATAATTACCGCGGCATATCTTCCTTCCGAGCGTACACGCGTGATTTAATTATGCCAAGTGCTCGTCGATTGAGCTAGAAGGAACTGAGCCACCGACGGATTAATCTGACTTTCATAAACTGCTTGATGACTCTATTGATCTCCAAACTGGTACCAAGTGACTCGGATCAAATGCGAGGCACAAAAGCAAGGCTGCGCGAGGAGGACGCAAAATGAAATTTTGTCGAGCGGACAGGACGGACAGACGGATAGACAGACAGCAGCGTGCGATGGTGACGACGTGATACGTACTGTTCTTCTTCTTCTGACCGGTCGAGGTCTTGGGCGGCGTCATCGAGGACGGCGGTACATTGTGAATCGGCGGCTGCGGCTGATGCGGATGCGCGGGGTAGATGGCCGGCGGGGGCACATGGGGCAGGCTCGGCGCCGCTGTGCCCGGCTGATGATGATCGTGATGATGATGAATGCTGCCCCCCGGGTAGAATCGATCTCCGCCCCTGTAGACGATCGGCGGCAGCGGCGGGGGCGGCAGACCGGCGGCTCCACCGCCCAAAACTGCGGTGCTCGTCGAGCTGCTGCTGGGCACGGTGCTGCTGGTCACGGCTACGGCTGAAAAACGGACGATACGGCAATTAGATGGTGATTGTGTGTCATCCCTTGTCTGCACTTCCGCCCAAGTCGATCGTGGGCCGAGATGAACAATCGGTAATAATTACGGCACCGAAGTTCGTTTTTTCAGACAACGTCTTATAGAGTAAAAGAAAAACTTCCATGCCAACAGAATCGCTTGAAACATAGTTTTATTATTGAGCAGTTAGATTAGAACTGTATGATACTAATATTCGTTCGGTTTCAATGTGTGTACAAGCACTTTCAGAAAGATCGCGTGCGCTAATAAACTTTTCAAGAATAGTTCTTCACGTATTTAAAGATATTTTCTCTTCGTGTATTAAATTCTTTTTACATTTGAATAATATATCTTTGAATAGTGAACAGTTTCATGTTTCTAAGCTTCCGAAAACGAAGTTTCTTTTCATCTTCAAAACTACTAAATTACTAAACTAAAAAAGCACTACTAAAAAAGAAACACAAAAAAAAGAATCCTTTCGTTTTTTTCGAAGTATAGAAAAACGGGGATAAGTTTCAGAAACTATGATTAAATACAGCGAGAGGCAACCTTCGTCATATTCACACTTTCCCATCGCGAAAGCCTGCCGATAGTTTGTGTTATTCTGAGCGTACAACTTGATGCTGTACCTCCTAACCCATCGGAAATAAAATTCGCGGCCGAGGAGGTACGCGCACCCCCCCCGGCGATATAATTGTGTGGAAGTAGCCGCGCGCGAACTCTCGACGTCTACCGTGAACGCGAGGTCGGGTCTCGCCATGGAATCTTCAATGCCCGAGACGGAGGAGGAGAGAGAGGGAGAGAGAGAAAGAGGGAGAGAGAGAAGAGGAGAGGAAGAAAGAGAAAGAAAGAGTTCAGAGTTCCTGGCCGACGAAATAGCTGGTCATTATGGCGCATGAATCGTCTCTACCGGAGCGGAGGTGGCAGGAGAAGAAAAGGGGAGAACCAGGGGGAGGCAAAAGGGGGACCGAAGGAGCGAGAGGACGCTTCGAGGATGCTTCGGAACGAATTGGGGAGAGAATAGCGGGGCAAAATGAAATGGTAGAATTTATTGTACCCCGGGACACAGTGTTGGTCCCCCGGCCGCAACAAATGGCGCACGGTGAGAATTATAATCGATAGGGATTATTTAAAAGAGACGGCGGGACGGACGACAGAGGGGGGGGGAGGGGGTGACGCGGGTGAGAAGTGGATAGGAGAAAGGATAAGAAGGAAATGAGCTCGGAAGGATGGCGAACGAATTGGCGAACGAACGAGCGTACCGTCTGTTATGGTATAATCATTCTTCTCACGTAACTGATTACGGGATAATGAATTTATGGACCATTTCTGTTTCGTGTCCCTGGTCCCCCTCCCTCCCATCCGTGTATTTTTTTACAAAGTCTTCGAATCTTCGACGGAGGTCGCGCAGAACGAGAAAGCGTGAAGAGTTAAAAGCGTGAAGAGTTAAAAACGTGATTTACACGCGGAATGAAAAGGCGGTGTCCTTCGTGCAAACGACGCCTGTAATTTTAGATTATGATAATTGAGAAATTAGAATATAATTGCCGCGCGAACTGTGATTTCCATGGGAAGAAGAGTCTGCATTTCGGATAATATTTTGCGAGAAGTGCGCGATACGATGTAAATGAAGAAACGCACGCGAGTGAACTCGCAATCGTCACGCGAATTGCTCGCGAAGAATAAGTTTTGGCCTCACACGAATCTTGGAGAACAAAAAAATCCATCTCTATTCGATAATCACAGCTTCTACTTTAAGTTCAAATGGTATTTCCTGGTTCTTATAACTGTTTCTTACTTGTTATACTGTTTCATAAATAAAAAATAATAATTTTATTTTTAATTAAATACTGACGCAATAAATCTTTCTTTTTCTTATTCAGATTTTTTTAAAAATCATATTTCGTATATTTCAATTTCTCATCTTGAGATGAAATATCGAATAACCGATAAACTCGTCTCGAATACTCACAGTTGTTACGTGATGTCGCCGACGAGGAGGAGGTCTCGGCCTCGTTGCCGCAGCAGACCTTGAAGACGACCTTCATGTTGTGGCTGGTGCACCGTCCGCCGATGCGCCTGTGGAGATCATCCTTGGACGAGGTGCTGATGAAGTAATAATCGTGGCCCGGGAGGAACTCGAGGCCCCCGGGTTGCGGCGTGAACGGCCTGAAGGTGATGGTGAAGTACATCGTTTTGCGCGGCTTGTCGCATACCGCTATTACCCGCGGACTCGGGTTCGTTATCCGACATGTCTCGTACTCCTCCTTGGACACCTGCAAAACGCCAAAGAGAAATCCTGCAGTCAGTCGCGACGGTATAATCGATCGGCGACGCGGAGCGACGCGCGGGTCGGCGACACTGATCGCTGATTGACTACTGTGAAAGGTGCCATCGTAGCGTTTCCCCCCAGCGAACCGATTCCCGGGCTCTTCTGCAGAAGAGGGCTTCATTGTCGGGGCTAATCGTCGTGTAGGAAGAACGGCGGAGACAATGGGACGATGGATGACGAAGGGTGGAGGGACAATCAAGTGGATCGAAACGATTAGGTTGCCGACGACGCAGGAATGGTCTTTGGGAGGTTTTGCTTTGCTCGAGAGGGTGGACGCTATCGGAATGTTTGATGGCCACATCCGTGAAAGTCAGGGAATCTGCCGTGGTATCCGGAATTGGTTACCGAGAGGACGAAAGTTAAGATAAAAACGTATCAATCGGGAATGCGATGTCAAAATTTCGTCTGCCACTGCGAATCCGGTTTTTTTTTCCCTGGATCAGAATTAACTTTCAGCCGAGAATAAAAAAATTTTGTTATAAGGAAAAAAATAAAGATATTTCACGTAAAACGGCAAAATAATAATTACAAAAAAAGAAGAGATGTAATTTCTTTTTATTCAAAGATGAAATCACGTCTCGCAAAGATTAAAAATAAAGAATGAGACAGTAATATTGCTTAACATGTTTGCAGACATATGTTTAATATTTCTTTTAGTTTATCAATAAATCTACATTTCGGTAGAACGGTATGTTTGTTGAGGAACGGATGTCATTTTGGAGATATAAAAGAAACGGGTTAAAGAACCAGTTTCAAGTAGTAGCAGCTGTCTAAACATTGGCAGACTACCGTCGACAATTTTTAATGCCCAATATGGCTAGTGTTGTCATAGACATCGCACATTATAATTTTGAGTCCGTTATCTAATAAATGCACCATGCGGAAAGTCACTGCGTTATCAATATTAAAATGAAAATTAACTTACGTTATAAATGATGTACTTCTCAGCATCATCATCGACGTACGAGTCCGGCGGATACACAGGACATATTATATTGACTTGATCGTACTCGAACGCTGCGTTGTTCTTATTTACGTCAATTATGTGATCTGTATTGTCTATTCGAAATCTGTAACATAAAAATGTAGAAATATCAGTGAGTTTCAATTGAAAACACAATTTCATCGATTCATCACCTCATCGAATATAAATCCGTTTTATTTTATTATAATATCATAACGCAAGCAAGAATTTTACAATATTATTTATTTAGCAGAAAATGTTATTGCCAAAATATTATTTATGTTGAGAAATAATAAATACACCCCTAAAAAATTATTATTATCGCAAATGCATTTTTGGAAAACCTCGCTTCGACATTTATGTACATGTGATGTATATTTTTTGTTAAAAAAATCTATTTTAAAGTCTCGGAAGTTTCTACAGCGCTTTCCGGGGAAGATCATATTTCTCGTGGACTATGGCGATGCAACGCATACCGCCGTTTCCATGCGGCAAGTTCCAGGACTATCCGTGAAACATTCGCGAGATGCCGACGCCTCCGGTGGAGTCTGGGAGGAAGCGAGAGGGTCTGCGGAGACCAGCGTCCCTATGGCTTGTCGGTAGCCAGGTCAGGAAAGGGAGAAAAAGAAAAGATGCGGACTCGCCCTTGTAAGCACCCATGGTGTCGAAGCATCGCGCAAGTGTATGTACCGCCTCTTGTACAGGATGCCTCAGAAATTCACCATTCCCCTGAACTAAGAACTTTCTCATGAACAAAATGAAAATTCGATCAATCATTTTCTTTACCAGCATCTTGCAATCCTTCCAACGTTAATATCTGAATAATTTCGTTTTATAGCGTGCTAAAATTTGTAAGCAAAATTAATAAAAAAAAAACTTAGTCGAAATCTACCGTGTTCTAATCACGGGCATGTCGAACATTATTGATTCCGCTTCCAGATTGAAACGATCGCCGTTTTGCTCGGTTTGGCACCCTGTATCCGAGCTCGAACATCCTGTACATTTACGCGTGCGGATATGCGCTTAGCTAGCGGCCGTACACACGCGTGTATACACACGCGCGCGTCGCCGCATTATGTAGCGGCGAGTTCGCCGATGAGGATACTCGGGAAGGATGGAGGAACGAAAGGTCGGCGGATGAGCAGAGGAAGAAGAGGAGAAGATGCAGAGAGAAGAGGTGGCGGACAGTTCCTATATAACCGGTTCTTACCGCGAGCACTCTCTCTCTCTCTCTCGCGCACACGCAAATACGCGCCCCGTAAGTCGACGTGTACGCAACAGCCGGCGAGAATACTCCCTATTTCGCGTCGACCTATTTCGTACTTGCGAATCGCGGCGAGAACTGCGCCATCATCCGGTAAAATTAAGTCGCGCGGGAGCTCGATATAAAATTTCGTATCCCATCAATGCACCCACTTTTATTTATACATTTATTTCTAGCTCCTCTGCGTGAACGTGAAGAATAAGTATTTTTCTACGAGTTTTATCCTACGAATAAAATTCACAAAATAAATGTGAATTATTTTATTTCGTTACTATTCATATCCGTCAAAAGAAATATTTATATTACGTCCGTGAAGTCGAAGATATCGCCTATCGCCTTTGCCGGCGATCCGTTCGATTTCATCGAACGGCATTGCGTATTTCACAGGGTTGCGCGGACACATCGGGCATTGTGTCGTTTTCCACTTACGCGACTCCTCGATTCCCCTCGCTCGCCGCGTTTACGCGTTTATAGATGCATGCGCCGTCTGCTTTTTGCGAGCGCATCACGAGCTCGTCCACGAGCCCCGCGATGTGGAGCTTTACACGGATATAACCATATTTATTCTCCGTCTCTCTCTCCACTCTTTCTTATGTGCGTTCGCCTTCGCGCTACTGGTAGCGCACAAGTTCTTACGTGTTTAGAGTTTATCCGAGCCGGCAACACGTACACGTTACACGCACGGCGAAGTGAACGGACATTTTTGTTGCTTACTCCCATGCAATCTCACGTGCGCTTCCGCGGTTGGATCGCGCACAGTCGGTCACGGATGATATAAGCCGCAAATCGTATTTATCTTCCTCTCACACATGTATTTAAGGTTTTGTTATAAAGTTTAATTTACCTCGTCGATACTAAGGCCGCACGACACACCTCGCACTGCGTATAGAATATACGTCGTAAAAAGAGATTTTGATAAAAATATTTCCCTTGAAATTTAAAAAAGAATTTCTCAATTTATTCTGTTCATCTGTTCACTTTGTTCCGCTTGTTTTCCCGGAAAACGGTTTATAAGAATATAAACGCGACAAAATGGATACGATAATTTTGGATGCACTTCTTTCTGGCCTCGGTCGCAGGATTATGATGAAGTGGGTTGATCACAAATTTGTCAAATGATACGATCCTCAAATTTAATACAAGGATCCACGGAGGAGAGTACGCGTTTCTCGCGTGTATACGAGTCACGCTTGTCACGGGAGACACGTATGACGACGCTGTATTATAGGAAAATGCGGGCGTTGTGTATACGCGTCCCGACGTTTCGGAGCGTTAACGGACAATCTCGTAAGTGGGCGTGTAAGGGCTCGAAAATTGGAAGGTAGGCCGGACCTCGACCAAATTAACGTTTGGCGATAATATCCGCTCCCTCTCGCTCTGGCCGTCCCTTTTTTTTCCCTTCCGCTTTCTCTCCGGGATCTCCCTCGGTCAGTCGTCGATTGGTTGGTCCCGGCACTTTAAGCGCAACAACGGTCCAGAGATCAGGGAAACACGCACGTGTACGTGTGCATATGCGTGCACGTGCGAGGAGGAGGGGAGGGGGAGAGCACGTCTGAGTGCGCGTGGGCGCATAGGACGTTTCGTTCGCGGCGTGGCCATTCACGAATTTATTAGAGACCGTATATGTACATGGCAGCCTGAATTACTCGTGATAAAAATGTGCCGTTCTCTTTTCGCCCCGGAATGCCCGGACTCTCTCGAGAGCGAGCCAAAAGCAAGAGAGGTTTTCAGATCGTCGTCGTCGTCGTCGTCGTCGTCATCGTCACTACGGATAATGTATGCGGAGGAGGCGATACGAGTGAGAGCAGCTTTATCGCCGTTTCCGCCGAAACACGTAGTCTCAAACGTGTTTAACTTTTCGCCTCGTCCGACCGTTCTCGTTTCTCCACTCTGCTGGATTTTTTTATTTGTTCGATTATTACCGTCGCGTCTTCCTCTTAATCGCCAAAGTTCGATCGCAATCCGGCCTTTTTCCATCGTCTCGCCACTCGTCGTTGACGTTGGCGTTTTCTCTCTCTCTCTCTCTCTCTCTCTCTCTCTCTCTCGCATCACGAGCTATAAAATAAGATCGCCACTCGCTCTTCCTCTGCGTCGCTCTCTTCTTCTAAGCCGCCACAAAGAACGCCTGTTTTATACGTACACGTCGGCCGGACGTGTTATTGGTAGTCCCGATGTGTGATTTAAAGGATCTCTCTCCGGGGAACGGTGTCATTTGCATATATCTACGTATTCGTAGGATCCCTCGAGTACCCTCGTATTAATGTGATACCTCACCTCTCGGTTCTTAACAGTTCTTTTCTGGCCTTAGGTAAACACTCGGCATGAATATGTATGCCACCTCGCCGGTGACCCGTCTGAGATTCGAAAGTACTAAGCAATGGACACCGAGCCCGGCTTCATAGTCGCGCGTTTTCTACGCGATCGCCCTAACGATATATTATTGAACGCGTGTATTATTCGGCGATTCTTCCCTCGCTGCCCCGGCGTTGCGACAGAGAATAACGGTGCATCGGATAGTAGGAAAACGTGATCGCCATCTTCCTATTGATGAAGATGACTAAGTATAGGATATCGTCGGCTTTAGGAATATTATTTACGATTTAATGCTAGATTATTGGTTTTACCTCGACTCAGAGAGTTTTTTTTTAGATTGCGTTACAAAATAATAGTTGTAAGCTAACCGATCGTTACACCGCTTAATCCTATATTCTTTTCGAGTTCGAGATATTCATTCAACGTGAATAAAACTAAAAAATAAAAATAATACATAAATTTAAAATAATGTTTAACATTACAAAAATAATTTTTAAAGTGACAGTGCTACGTAATTTTTATTAGTACGTCAGCCACCGGCGAAATATCGATCGAGCAGCAATCTTCAAAGTGATTTCCGTACAAACGTAAAAGTTGATTTGGTCGCCGACATCGTGCCATAACACTCCACCTCTAACTGTCTTCATTAATTCCCACCACTGTCTAGCCGACGCCAATCAACTACCAAGCGGACCCTGCGAGAGGGTCTTCCTAATTGGAATCGCGAAAAAGTGGGCGTGTTCCGATCATTGACCATCGTTTCGAATCGTTCCTGCGGATTTCTGTCAGCCATTCGGTGATGGCAATTTTCTGTTCCACTAATTTCAACG